CTGCAAACCCGCCAAACACCTACCTTGCGGGATCTAGCTGGGACAACCGCGTTCGTGTTTGGGAAGTAGCATCTAATGGAACTTCGACTCCAAAAGCTGAACAACTACATCAAGGTCCTGTGCTTAGTCTGTGTTGGAGTAGTGATGGGACAAAAATATTTTCGGTTGGAGCTGACAAGTGCGCTCAGATGTGGGATCTGGCATCCAATCAGTTTGTTCAAGTCGGTGCCCACGATGCCCCAATAAAAACGGTTCACTTTATTTCATCACCCAATTACACATGCATAATGACTGGAGGTTGGGACAAAAAACTTAGGTATGTAGGATTGCTGCGGGTTTGATAAATCGGATTAAAGCTGTTCATGTGGTTTTTTCGCTCTAGGTTTTGGGACATGCGTCAGCCAACACCTTTGTCGAGTCTCGACCTTAATGAGCGTGTTTACTGTGCAGATGCAGTTTATCCTGTTGGTGTTGTTGGTTGCGCAGGCCGACAGATAGTCGTCTATACCCTAGAGAAGGGGCCTGAGGTTGCTGCTCAAATTGAGTCGCCGTTATCGTATCAGGTACCTTATTATCGGTTGCTTTAACTTCACCTGACTGAATCAGTATGCATTACTTTGTTTACTTCGTCAATTCTACTGGAGTATGTGTGTTATTTGCAAAAATGTACAAGGCTTTTGGTTTATGTTAGTGAGGTTGAACTAGTGCAGTTTCGTTTAATATATGTGCTCTACGAGATATGCTTACTGAAAATTCAATCAGCGGTTATCGTACATATCAGCAGATTTGTTGTTTTGGGCTTGACGACGGTTCTTTTTAATTCTCAAAGGAATCAGTCCCCTTTGTTTTAGAACAGATGCATTTCCATCTTTTTGGACAAGCAGAAACAATCTCCCACAGGCTTTGCACTTGGTAGCATTGAGGGTCGCGTTGCCATTCAGTACTTTCAACCCAGTGCGCCGCGCGACAACTTTACCTTCAAATGTCACCGATCCCCTACTCCGGTTAATGGTTACTACGAAATATTCCCCGTGAGTACTCAGTAGAACGTTGAATCCGGATCTAATGATACGTTATTCCCAATTATTTTTAAAAGGAGATGCGGTTGTTTAATCTGTTATATCATATCGGAATATTTTGCATCACTATTCCTCGGGCATAGTTCATTTTACACTGAACCCGCCATGTCTATTATGAAAAACGGTGTTGGTCTATGTGTTAATTTACTTCTGATCTTCTTGAGTTTAATCATTTGAATTGCAAATTTAGTTATCTTGGTTCTTGTTTAAAAGGGAATCATTCTCTAATCACTTCATTATTGGGTTTAAAGGGAGCATATTTAAATCATGCTTAAGTTATGATATCATTTGTTTTCATAGAACCCGAATGGTGCTGAACTTTACTTTCTTAACAGGTCAATGATGTGGCTTTTCATCCGTTGTATGGAACGCTTGCAACTGTCGGTTCGGATGGCCGCTATGCATTTTGGGACAAGGATGCTAGGACTAAGCTGCGAGGTCTTGATAATGCAGAAATGCCCATAACCACCTGTACAATCGATCGGAGTGGTAATTTGTTTGCCTATGCTTGTGGATACGATTGGTTTAAAGGTCATGAATTCGCTGACCCTAACAAACCACCGAAAATTTGTATGCGGCAAGTTTTGGAGGAAATGAAACCTTCCAAATAGACTGGGTTTTTTTGTGATTATGCATGCACTCTCAGCAAAACGGTGTCTTGCCATTTTTAGCTTGAGTATCACTGAATGTGGTGTTGGTTCGCATTTCGTATCAAAATCACACGATTCTGTGGTGATGACCTATAGCTAGTACCTTCAACGTAAAGTGGAGACGTAGTTTGATCCAAAAGTTACCACCCTTTTTGAATTATGTGGAGGAATGTGCTCGAATGTGGGTAGAAGGTTTTCGCAATTCAGTTCTTTTTGTCAATTCGATCGCATAGTACGTGAAGGGGGATGCTTCCACATTTATATATACATTGATTCGGGTGGTATCTGTGGCTAGGTTAGAGGCGTCGGTTAAATTTTTCGGGTATCTGCAACCGGTGGGTGTATCCCCGTCTTAATGTTCTAGACTTTTCTTCTTGGGAGTTGATTCTTTAGGCGCTACGGCATGTCGGGATTTGAGCTCTCATTGGGTTTTTCCACTGACCAATACGAAATGGAGTTGCAGTCTATATATGGTCGGTAAGGTCAAGGCAACTCATGACGTTACAAGTATCCTGTAGCGCTCCGCTTGTTTAACTCCTAGTTTCGGTTATGCGGGCGCTCAAGGATTCTTGACTGTACCTCCGCTGGGCGGCATAGCCCGGAGGCCATGCCAATGGCCTCTCAGCCCTTCTGTGCGTCAGCAGTGCATTTTCTGCTCTAGTATTATGGCTTCTTTCGACATCAGGGAAGACCTAGAGCGCTACATTGCTGTCAGCGCAAAGCAAACCCTACCTAAAAGCACATCTCTTGTGTTTTCTACTGCTAAGTGGCAAACTTTAGCGTGATAGAAAGAGGACATATCCTGCAGATGGGGGAATGTGTGGCGATCCCTAGCAGATGGTGTGGTAATGTCTGCTCAGCAAATTCTCCAGTCTAATATTCAGCAGGAATACTACTGACAACTGAAGCGACACTATCCGTGAATCATCTGGAAAAGTTCGTTACGGTGCTACCTACCATACTTGCAGGGAGGTAATGTTTATGCGTACATGCGATTCCTCCTCCGCCCCCCCCAACGAGCCGGATAGAATCAAGATAGATATGGTGGGGCAGCACTGAAGTGAGAATAAAGTAAGAAGAGGGAATAAGTGGGAAATCTTATTAATGCGAAGCTATTTTAGGTTCAATCCTTTATTAAATGACTGCTTTTAGACTAGTGTACTCACGACTAGCGATGAACACGCATGATAGCAAACACATTCTCCCAATTCCAAATACAGCTCCTATATAGGTCAGAACTTGAGATCCAGTAGAATTGTCAAGTGGGACCGGTGACGTTGCGATCAAATGTCTTCTCAGTTGCACAGAAATTCGTTGACCGGTGCGGTTGGTTGATTGATGAGTGTTTCTCTTAGGGCACCGATTGCGTTATGGTGGCTGACGCGAGGGGTTCACCAAGGAGAGCAGCGGGAATGACATTCAAAAGAGGAGAGGAGATATGTAGTATTTTTTGTTAAGCTCTCGGTTTTGTTAACGGGCCACCTAGGGGCTCTGTTACTGTAATCCCTCTGGCCGGCCTGGCCTTGGATCCATGCCAGTAATTCCAATCCCTTCTGTATTTCGGCAAGAGGTTCTGCTCGAGTACTGCGTGTTCTTCCCTCCTCAGGGAAGTATTGAGGCTGTACTAGCTTTCAGATACAAACGTTTAGAAGTATGTAAAACTATTCAAACAAAGTCATTAGCTGGTTTACCTTGAATTAACGATGAACATGTAGGACTATGACTGAGTTACTTTTTTGGCGGCGGATGCATTACGCATGTCCTCCCATGGTACTATCTCTCACTCCCAAAATCTTAATCCGGCTACATCAATTAAGCTGTCTTTATTGGTTGACTTGATTTGAAACTGTGATGAGGTCTGGTGATATCAATCATTGGAGCTGTGAGGGGTCCCAGTCTGCAGTTGTCCTTGCGCAACAAATTCGAGGTCTGCATAGGGACTATGAGCTTTTGGGCGGAGTTACCTTTTACAAGCAATAAAAGCTAAAGTCACTTGAGTTTAACTTTAATAAATAATAACACTAGGCGTAATCACATTTCCATATCAAAGTAACTGATGAAGACGGTTTGCTTGATGTAAATAGACTGCGATTTAGGGCGAGTGAGATAGTGTTGTGGGAGGATATGTGGATTGTATCCAAAGACAAAGGTTAGCCCAGTTATAGGCTTTAGAAGTTAATTACTACGTTTAAGGTAATAACTTTGCTTGAGTAACTTTTCACTTTTTGAACGCTGACATTGTAAGGCCCACTTTGTGCTGTCCCTTAGTTCGCCATTGCCCAGTGCCTTGGTTTTTAGGACAGCGAGGTCTGCCATGTAATTAGTAAGTCTATTCTCCATGCTCCTAGCATCAATTTCACATACAAGTGAAATTTCACTACTTTTGAGAGATCATTTTCAAATAGTCCTCTTTTTGTCACACCTTTCACAGTTCCATAGTAAGTAGGGCTGAAACTAGATAGACGACAATATTGAGATGACTGTTTCACTGTTTTATGTCCTTATTTTGTATAGCTCGGTTCACTGGGCGTTCATTGTGTGTTGCCTCAAGACCTTCTAGATCCCTTCATTCTAGTTATTTAAAAACTATCTATTGATGTCTTGATTTCATTGCCTCTTATTTTTACTACTTTTCTACCAACGAAACGAACATGATATTGGTAGTTATGGGACGAATAGTTTTGAGCCAGTGAATTACATTCTATTGTAGTATGGCTGTTCTTTGTTCTCGAGGGTTTGGAAACTACTTTGAAGAGAAATCAAGCGTAGTGTAATGAATTCCTCTTCTCATCAACCTCATTAGTAGTCTTTACAGGCGCTGGAAACTCAACCAATAGTATTGCCACTCATTATACCGCCCAATGACTTCCGGACATTTTGTTCAGCTACAGCCAGCTCGTCAGTTACACTGGGTCCTCAAAGTTTGCTGGGGTGGATTGATTTCTCCACTCAGCATTGTATTTAGCTAATAAATTATTTTGTTAGTTTGTGCAGGCCGTTTTTATCAGATGGATGGCTCGCACTGTGTCTCAGAATTTCATGGCACAACTCACCAAGTTTTGTACATTCAGCGCTAAAGCTGAGGGATGCCAAGAGCCTCCTCTTCACCGCCGCCATGGCGATGACTCGTTAATTGAACAGGATGGAGGCACAGCTACTGTCCTCGATGACTGCGTTTTCTCTCCAAATGAATTCATCAGCCCATACCTCACAATTTTTATCTGAGACTACTCTTTTGTCTAGTTCCGATCTTCCATTGGAATCTCGAGCCCATCCAAACTTCCCCACCTACCAAAACACTTCCACTTCTGGTGTCTTATGATTTAAAGTGTGATATTCTAAAGCCCAGGAAATCTTCTAGATGAATTTACGAAGTACCTTAGCGTTCAAGTGTTCCCTTTGCATAAGATAGCGGCTCTGTGAAACGCTCTGAAGTTTACTTCGAAAAAATCTTTCACCAAAGCTAGGATGGATGGGTCTGACGATGCTTACCCTTGTATCCGAAGTAGTCCTCATGTGAAGGAACCTCTTTTGACAACCCATTCATCTCTGATGGTTAAGAGCATCAGCTCAATGGAAACGCGTTGATCTGTTCAAACACCTCGTCCTTAAAGCCAAAGGGTAATTCCCTTTGGCTATGCCCAGCCTATCGATGGACTCTATTGGCCAACCAGCTTAAGACTTCCAGAGTGAATAAAAAAACGGAAAAACACGGTAGACAGCTATATGAATTTGTGTTCTGTAAAGAAAGCAAGCACGGTACATGTAGGAGTTAACAGCCTGTTCTGATTTAACCAAATTTATCACCGTTTCTTCCCGCAGATACATTTGCAAGCACATCGCTAAGAATGAGAGATATTGAACGACAATACGCCGTGTTTATCCAGACTTTCGCAGGTTGTTGTCATCGGAAATATAATTGTCTCTCGGAATTGGAGCATTTTCGTAAAACGTGCTAAAGAGTGAAGGTTCGGGTAGACTCGATTTAAATACATGGGAGCAATGAACATTTGTTGTGATAGAAGTGTTAGTTTGAGTAAGAAGATAAAAAGACGTGAAATTGCGTCGTGACTCTCTTATTTACTGTCTGGTTGTTAAAGGATGCTTAACTACACTAGTGACTCAAAAAGTGATAACAATTTAATTACAGGGGTATTGACATGTATAATCGCATTTGCCGGCGGCATGCTGTGGGTAGAAGCAACTCATTGTTTTAAGAGAGATTGTTAAAAGCCTAAGAAATTCAAAGCTATGCTATTTCAAAGCATGTGATTGTCTAAGTAATCACTTTTTATAGAAGTTAGTCATGCCATTTGGCGTTGCGGCAGTGTCGCAGTATGTGATACATAGAGCAATAAAGTGGTTCTGGAATTATCATAAAACACGACCATTAGAACTTACCACAATCGTCAGATTCGTTCGATATCTCATCAAGTAACACACGAGGAATCGATCGCCAGGTCTCCATACACGCAGTGTAGTAGTCATTGACACGGGTAATCGCTGATGTTGGTTCGATGATCAGCTTGACAGGCTCTTTATTGGAGCGGAAACATGCCATGCTGATCGTCTGTTGCTGTAAGTGAATGTTGGCAAAAAAATTTGATAAATGCATGCTAATCTCTGGCAAATTCAACCATTTTAGAATGATTTCTTAATCTACCGATCTTGACGCAAAGACCAGCTCGAGTAAGTTAATAAAAGCCGAGACCTTAAAGGTCCAGTAACTCGTATCTCAATGATGGCATCACAGCAACGTGATTCGACTGAAAGTCTCGAAAGAGGCCTGATTATAGTTAATAATGTCATAGCATTTTTTACCCAAATAGACAATGAGCAGTTCTGGCACGAATTTATAAGAATAAAAACATAACGAAGCGAATGCTACCACAAGAAAAATGCGTTTCATTGACAAATTTCAACCACAAAAGGCATTAGTGAGAACTAATAAAACACAAGAGAGCTTGGTAATAGTTTCAGCTAAACCGGCTAAGATCTAGGAGCAAGCATAGGCGGAGCGGATTTTTTGGCCTACCCGTGAATTCACTTTAGAACAACATAAAATTCCAGACTTCTGTCCAGCAACAACTGTGTGTAATAGAAACTACTAAAACTGCAAACGAAAAGGAAACAACAGAATGCCATAATTACCTTATTGGCATCATCATTATCAAATACGGAAACGATGAGTCCGAAAAAATTCCCGTTGAGTTTTTCATAGAGGGCCTGTGTACGAATATCTTGGTCGCTTGGGTGTACCGTGATATGAGGGTGAGAATGATACCAGCCAAGAACACACAAATTCTGCCCCAGCCTCTTTCCTAGTTCCTAAAACGTAAAAGGAACGTCGAGGACACAAGTTCACAGCTTAGGTATACTACTTCATATAGCGAAATGGTACGGACGACGGCGAGACAAAACCGGGTAAATAAGAACGAGAAGTTTATCAATGTTAGCAGCGAATACGTTAAAGCGCATCAATCTAACTCCCGCCGATACAATTAGAACAGGCCACTAGGGTTGCAAAATATGAAAACGTTGAAAACCAAAAGTCTAGGTAGCTGTAAACCTCAACAGTTTTTATAACAAAATAATTGGCTAAAAATACTCACATCAGACTTCTGCGAACCCAGTATCATATCTTCGTCTGCCACCTCTACTCTATCCTTGAGATGGGTGATCCGACGAAAAGGAATGGCTGTGTAGATTTGAATGTATGAACTACACACCTCCCCGCAGAGAAGGCCTATAATTTCTTCACGTTCCTGCGAAAGCGCATGGGTAACGATGGTTTGATAAGCGGAAGGAGGCAGCCTAACTTCATTCATCTACCGTAAAAAAAGAAAAGAATTGCTACCCAAAAAAATTAGGCAGCAAAGGATAGAAAGGCAAAGTTTGGCAGTTCTTTATTCTAAAAAAAGATCGCCGTGCTAACTGACAAATCATACACAAGGCTGCGAAAAATCACTTTGGGATCCAAGTTTCCACCTTTGGCTTTGTTGTAGAATAGGGCACATATTTGGCTGACTCTTCAAGGGTACGGTTTTCTTGGTGGTCCAACATCCACGAATGGCGCTCTGGAGGATTTTGTATGGGAGTCTCATCCGTCATATAATGAAGCCAACGATGCCTAAGAGTCTAATCTGTTTATAAAACTCACCATTCCGGGGGAATTTGAGAGCCCTCATAATCCCATCCAAAGCGGTTTCCATAAACAACCCAACGATTGCGCCCTAGTACATTACAAAATTTTTAAAAATACCCAGGAAGTAGCGATCATTTTTGTAATATTTATTTCCGAGATAATCTTCTCCGACTAATGTTCCATCTTTTAACTCGTCCGTTCTTGTAACTATGACAAGGGAGCATAGAGCCTACCTGAATAACATCACAATAGAACCACGAATCCCGCCATTTTGCTTGATTATAGTAAGAAATCTAGACCACTTTGCAAGGAGGCTAGCCATCACCAAACACTGACACACCGGCAGTTTAACCAATCAAAGAACGGTCATGTGCTGAAATTGAAACACTTTCCGAGACCCGTTTAAAGGCATGGCTGCTAAATTCTTAATTATGAAGAAACAAGTTCAGTGTAATTAAAAAAATATGCAAAAAAAACTTATTAAGAAAGACTGCAAGGGCTGAAGAAATATATTGCGTCCCGCCGAACCCCCTATTTTAAGGGATGGTGTAATATTTAAATATTCCTTAAAATAGGGTAGTACACCGGCGCCAGCCCACTCGGCGAGATAAAATGGCTAAGAAAAAAGGGCCTTTTGCCAAAACTTAGGGCGAAACTTTCAACATGTTACAGAGGCCCTCTCCTCTTTTGAGCGCCGTCCCCAGCGCTCGCCTTGGTCAACTTCCCGTGTCAGCCATCAATAAATAGTCAACAATGTAAAAAGGTTGAGTTTTATCTAAATTTGAAAGTATATTTATAAACAGAGAATTGTGCTAGCCATCATGCGTGTGCATGGAGCGACGAAAAAATACGGACCTAGAAGCAGACATACGTAAGGAAGGACAAGGCTTTAACACAAGTCCTTGAGAAAGGGTTCCCTGCCTATTCCCCCTTGCCAGGTTTTTCCTGCTTTGGAAAGACCCAGTCTTACCTAACCAGGCTCTATCCTGATAGTAAAGAAGTGAGAGAGGTATCAAGAGTTCACCTTATCGACAGTTTTATGTGGGCACGGTAAAGTTAGGATAGATGTCCAAAAGATCGGGTTTGATTTTCACTGCCGCCAAAGCGGCGCTCTAAGACTTTTC